TGTACGCCGCAATAACATTTCTCACCACCTCATCTAGTGTTCGCCCATACAACAATTTGCATATTTCATATGTACTTATTTCAGTTGCCTTTTGCGGCATGTGGCTGCAGAGGTGCCACAGCGAAACCCAACGAAAACACTAGAGTATTTTGATATTTTGCAAATTGCTGCAACACATGTACAGTATAAGAGAGAGGGGGAGAGAGCAAGAGATCTGTTTATGATTCAACTCCCCCGGAAACGTTAAGTGCAAGTGTGGAAAATTATTTAATGACTTTTCAGAATTTGAAACGGAATATGAGAGTGCGTTGCGGCAAGTATCATGATGATGAGGCCAAATATTTGCTTACGCAAATTTGTAAGAGCCAGAGAACTTGGGAGTTAATAGTCAGAGCCTTTGCAACTGGCAACTAGCAACTGGCAACTGGCAACTGGCAAGTGGCAAGTGGCAAGTGTCAAGTGTCAAGTGGCAAGTGGCCTCGAGCGTTGGTGCTTTGCGCATTTTTCTGCAGTTCTATTAATTATTTATGTGTCTGGCAAGTGCCGTTAGGGCAACACACTTGGCCAGCGACGCCTAATGAAGCCACACTCCAGTGTGAGATGACGAGGTCCGCGCCTTTGCTGCTGCACTGTTGGCTATTGGCAACGACCATGTCGTCATCATCGCCAGCCTCAGCATTAATTTGTTCAGGCGACACTTACTAGACAGCTGAGAGGCAGCTACAGCTCTAGCTCCTGCTACAGCTACACAGCTACAGCAGCAGCACATAATTTGTAATTAATGACCAGTTAAAGAGCAACCTTTAGAGGCAGCGCGAGAGGCTTGGCACTTGGCTTGGCGACTGCGATTTACAGCGACAAACGGGTGACAGCCAAACGCTGATTTATGGCCACAGACCGCAAAATTTATATGCCATCACAGAAGTGGCGATGCGAGTCGCCTTTCTTGCTGATTCGAAACCATCTGCGGCGCCGGCTTGTCTTTACTTGCAATCCATATTCAATATGGGCCCAGTTGCTTTGAGCATATCCAATTCGTTGAGCATTTTGCATGTTGCAAGAGCCTAAGAAGTTATTCAAATCTTAGCTTAAAGAAGACTTATATAGCTAAAAGACTTTAAATAAAGTCAAATCAAAAGCTTTAGCTTTTATTTCTTTTTTATTTCGTTTCAATTTGATTTCGATTTGACTTTATTCATGAATCAGCTATGCATCAGTTATGCTTTTAATAAGCATTTTTGCTTCCAAAATAGGTTAGTGTAGATAGCCTTCGACTAGGGCTCAGTTTTTCATGTTTTCGCTTTTGTCAGAGCATTTGAATGTGAAATGTCAGTCACATTCTGGCAGGGGTGGCAGCCGGAGTTCTTTCTCATAGATCAACTCTTTGCACTGGCACAAAGGCCAAGTAAAATGAAAGGCAAAAAGAACAGGAGCCTCAGCCTTAGCTCTGTTTCATTTTGTAGCTGCTCTTAGCCGTACATCGAGCCTCGGCAGAGGCCAACCAAAGCGCAATTTGTCTTCTGGCAGCAGCTTCGATAGTCAATGCTGAGCCCATTTACATTCGCTTTATTGCCAATGGCATTTTTTCCCTCGCTGCTACAAGACACAGTCGTATATACGTTTTTTGCATGTTGTGACTTTGTCTGCGGCTGCTGTCAGTCGTTGGGCTTAGATCGAACTGAAGGCCTACAGACTGCAGTGCCGTTCAAATTGTAATTCCTCAATTATAAGAGTGTCTATGCAATGCCTATAAATATGTTTGTTGCCTGACGACAGTTTTATACCAGCTTCAGTTGCTTTTTGATTAATGGCCTCCATCGACTTGATGCACCGACAATCCCCTAAAAAAATCCACAAAAAAACCGGGAAAATAAAAAGGGGAGGGAACAGCCCCACTAAGTGAAACAACATGAGAGATAACTGGAAACAGCTTTTACACTCTGTTTATTTTGCGCCCAACTTTTAGCTAAGTGCAAAACAATTTACCCAAATACGCGTGCACACATTGTGGTTCCACGCACACCCACACGCACAACCAAGCACACACTTAATTGTTCCCCCGACTAATGCCGCTGCCAACACACAGGCCGTCCTTTGTTGTTGTTGTTTGTGGCATGCTTGTAAAATCAACCAAAGCTGCTAAAAACTTGGCTAGTTGCGCACTCTGCAACGTTGCCTTAAATACCCTGTAAATGCAGCATACAGCTGAGCAGGTCATATAGGATTGTTAGTTCAAAATTTGGCATTTCTAAAGCAATGTAGATAACATAACTGTATTATTATATTACATACATAACATGGCACTCATATATTTAGATTACTGCGCTTCTTCCAGTCGGTCACAGTGCTTCGCTCTGCCTTTATTATGCTAATGCAGAATCCCTCTCTCTTGCCCCCGCCCGCTGCCACCTGCACTGCTGTGTTTTTATACTATGTGTGTTGATTGGTAGCAACTGCATACTTGTTGTTTTTTACACCCCACATACACACACACACACACTCACACACACATTTTGTGTGCTGTGAACAGTTGAAAACTATGTCAGCGGCTTTTGGCAAATGCAATGCATTTCTGTAATACTTTCTGAGCAGCATTACCCTAAGCCACAAGCTACTCTTTCTGCGCTTTATAAGTAGGTGCAACAGTTTTATATTGCCATTAAGCCAGTGAACCAGGCAACAGCTTATCAGCATTAAAGAGTTTATAATTAAAGTGCTGCTTTCCAAATAGTTTTTCCGCTCGCATCATTTTACGATTATTCTCGACTTGATTTTACAGATTAAATATATTTTATGTATATTACTAGAATCAACATTTTTATTCTTGCTCATTTGTTTGCGCAAAGTGTATGAAATTCATAAAAACGACTTGAATGCTTTTGTTTTTGTTTCTTGCCCTTTTAGCTTCACTAAGTGTTTCGACTTTAAGAGCATTCGCCAAATGTATAAGACGACGGCGCGTCGTCTCGTGTAGGTCGTTGCCTGCGAGCTTCAGCAGTCTGTAAAATAAAATAATTATGAGCGATAAATTTGCAGGCGCGTTAAAGAAGAAAATGTGTCGCGACGAGGCCGGCATTGACGTTGATAATGAGCCTGGTCGCGACTAAAGGTTGTGGCAGGCAGCCTACAGGCTGAGACAGAAGCCACTGCAAAAGGCAGCAAAGGCACAACATCTAATTGGATCGATGTGAGAAGCATACAAAGCAGCAGCAGCAGCAGCAGCAGCAGCAGTAGTGGTAGTAGTCAACTGCCCTAACGATTTTCAGGATAGGATCATTAAAAATTCATAAGATATGCCAATTGTCAGCTACTCGAACTGACTGAGCTAATTCAATTTAAGCTGCACGACCCACCAATCTCCAATCGAGAGAGTGAGAGTGCGAGCAGGTCATATATTAGCACCGCTGGCGTCTGGCTGCAGTTGCACGTGCCACGGGGCAACGAGTGAATTGCGGCAGTTGCCAAGAATGCCATGCGCAGATTTATTTCATCCAGCGGCATCCTTTATGTAATCTCAATTATCGCCTGTTGGCAACGTCATAAATCTGAGCCGGCGCCCGCTGCGCTGATTGCACGTGAAACATTCTTGGCCAGCGATTTAATTAACTGCAAACTGAACGGCTGCGAGCTGTGTCTTTCTTTGCTACTATCTGGAAGTTACGCTCCTGCGAGCACACAATGCAGCACAAATCTCGCAGTTTGGTCACAAATTTTGTTGACACTTCAGCGGGCACTTTGACTGTCGGGCCGTGCCGTGTCGTACCTTGCCTTGCACCATATTGTTTGTTGTCCGTAAACGGCAGATGGAGCAAACTGAAAAAGCTGTCCAAACTGTCAAATGCTACCCTCAAAAGTCGTACAAAAAATATAAAAGCCAAGTTGTGCAACACAGTTGCCGCAGATGCAAAAACCTGGCCGTGCCACAAAACAGCAACATCAAGAGCAACAACAACAGCAACAGCAGCAAACAGCAAACAAGTAAATGCTAACAAACGGAAACAAACAGCTGCATTAGCAGACGCAAATCAGCAGCAGCAGCAGCAGCAAAGTTAAGCGCAGTTGAGTTACTCACTTAAAAATTCCAAACACAAAACGGAAATATGCAAAAGCTGGGGTCACAAACGGAAATGACCCGGCCGCCATGTTTGCCCAGTGCTCAGCTTCTTGTTGCCCCAGCTATACCCTAGAAGCAGCTACAGTCCACAAATATAGATCTCAATACATTTAACAGTTACTTAATCTAGTGCAGGGTATGCCTAAGTCGCGACACTGCGCGCCACTGGCTTGGCCAGGCTCAAACGAATCGCTAACGAGCGAGGCAAGGATGCAAAATGATGAGACGCTGACATCCTTTAGCAGTAGACTTATGAAATTTACTTTGATTGCAAAGGTGGCAGCTGGCAGGTGGCACCTGCAGCCTATCTAACGGGCATGCAAGTGCGATCAAAACCGCTACAAATTAGTGATAATGAATAATTTCCCTAGCGGTAATTAAGTGCATCATTAAAACGTGCTTAATTACCAGGAGCACTTGCAGCACTGCAATTGGTCGAAATTGATGTCATGCCAACACAGCACACAACTTGGGATGCGTTCCGCTGTGGGCGTGGGTGTGGGCGTGGGTATGTGTGCAGCTCTAAACGGTTTTCCAATTACCATGCTCTGGCAAAAGTCATTTTCAGTTTGCATATCCACAAACGTGCGGAACTAAAACAGCATAAGCCACCCGATTACGCCTGCCTGTGGATTTGTGAGCAGACTATCCGCTGTCCCAGCTGTACCGAAACTCCTGGCTGCCACTTAGCTGCAGCGCTAGTCGAGAGCAGAGAGAGATACAGAGGCAGAGGCGCACAACCAAATTGACCTACAGTCTGGCTAATAAATTTTTGCTTGTTAGTGCGAAGGTGCATATGTGTGTGTGTGTGTGTACGACACGTGTGTGCCTCCAGGCAAACAATCAGTGACCAGCTCCAGCTCCAGCTCGAACTGCAAACCGCAAATTAGTTGCACCTGTGTCGGAGCAGTTGATGCAGCTGCTCCAGCAAGTGAGCACAGCCGGCAATGGTAAGGCCAAAGGCCAGCACGAACAGCGCAGCGGAAATGTCGCCTACTTCAAGGGCCTTGGGCGCCTTCTTGGGCACATAGCCAATGGCCTGATTGAAGAGCACCTGGCCCGTTTTCTTATCCAAATACTTGTCAACATTCTGCAAAAACAAATAATTAAGCATTGGCACTGGGAACGGCTAAGTTAGGTACCTCCAGCTCCCAGTGCACGTAGAGACCCGATTCCTGGCAGACGCGTATGTGTCTGTTCAGCTGTGGCATCAGCGTCCAACCCCTAATCGACACAGCCCGCGTCCAGTCAAAGTAGAGATCATCGTGCATCACCTGCCACACCCAAACAGAATCGTTCGCTTAATAGCCTCGGCTAAAATAAATATCTCGCCTACAATGCGGCTCTCCACAGCCTCGCGTGTCACATAGTTGCCAAAGTTGAATGCACCAGAGGCCAGACGCTCGATGCCCAGTCCATAGTTGTGTTGAAAGCTCGCATTGTACATGTAGCTGTAGTCGCGCACCTCGAAGTTCTTGGCGAGTATCTGCTCCGTTACCAAGTCAGATTTCTCCACGGTGTGCACCCAGATAATGGACGGAGCAGCCCACTTCCATTGCGCCTGAGCCCACTTCTCGATGGTGTCCACTGGTGCGGCATACAGAGGCACTGTGAGCAGCGACTTCAACTGCCCGCTGTAAATGTTCTCCAGCGTGATTGTCGCGCACAGCATTGTGGCCAGAAAGAAGCGCGTGGCGAAGCGATCAAAGCTGCAATAAATTTCATATAACTGATCAATTTCCCAAAGATTCTCCAATGGCGACTCACGTCACGGGCGCCGATGGCTGCTGTATGAAGAGCGCAAATATGTCCAGAAGAGACTTTTCCAGATTTTCGGCATGCACAAAGAGAATCTTTTGCACGGGCTTTTTCATAATGTAGTTAGAGTATCGAAGAACATACAAGACCAGGCTGCACACGGCAATCGTGGACATCAGCAGGAACCAGGTGCCGCTATTAAATGGCAGAATATCGGTGCACCAGGCTTGCAGAGGACTAGAAGTGGAACAAGGAATAGCATAAGTAATGAGATGGACGAGAGGGTTAACTGGCGGCAACTAACACGGGAGCAGGTCCCAAGATGGTCACTGCCGATCGAGCTATGGTATGCGAGGTCTCCGTTATGCCATCGTACCAATTGTATATGCAGCCTATGGCCAGTTCTACGCGCTGCTTATAGATGTCGCCCAGCATGCCATCGGCGCTTTCATTGTCATAGATGCTGCCCCAGTTGTCAGCGCCATCTGTGAACAGCACATGGAGACAACTTTAAGATGAGCTTTTATTTAAGAAAAAGCATGCCTATGAGCTTCAGACTTAACTTATACGCAAGCTGTAAGACAGGCTTTAAAGCTGGGTTTAAGGACAGTTGTAAGTCTAGCTGTAAGGCCAGTTACTCGACGAGCTTCAGAGCAGGCTTAAGGCGAGATGTGTGATCAGTTTTAGTGCGAGCTTTACTGCAAGCTTGAACAGAGTTCAGACTATATACTTTATGTATTGGAAGAGCTTTCAGTCTTGCTTAAGTCGAGCTTAGCCCAACTGACTCAGGCTTAACAAAATTTTGAAGCAAGCCTTTTATGTTTCCTTAAATAAAGCAAGCTTTAAGGTATATCTAAAATAAGCCTACGAAAAACCAAACTTAGTTCTGAATATATATGATAAGGAAAGTTGTAAGTCTAGCTACTCCTATTTTTTGAGTATTCTGAAAGCAATCGTTGCACCTTTTTTAATAATTGGATTCAAAGTTAATCTACTTTACATGACTATTCAGTATTCTTACAGGCCTCGACGCGCAGATGACAGTTGTGCACCTCACAGAAGGTCCTCATAATGTTTGCCTCGGAGCCGTCGTAGGCAATTGTCCGCTTGGCTTTATGCGGGTTAATTGGATCCTCATTGCCGACACCAGCTGCCTGTGAAGTTGCGGGAGTTTATTAAGTTTTGGGCAGCAGTGGCTAATTGGCGCCCATTGTTGGGCATTCAAGTGTCTGTTCTAATTTACTAAATGGCCTCCTAATGGCCAGGCATAGCATATGCCACGCCCACATACAGGCACAGACACAGCCACACGCACATGGACATCGACACTCGGCGCCAATTAAATGGAAACACGTAATTTAAATCAATGTTGTGCTAAAGCTGGCCATAAACAAAACCACATGCACATGCTTGTGGCCAAGTGTGTGTGCGTGTGTGAGTGTGTGTGTGTTTGTTGTTGTTGTTTTTAGTATGTGTGTGTTTACAAATGTGCAAATGTCCTTAAGGCAAACAATTGAGTGCGAACAAAACTTCCACCAAGTGACAACAAAGAATATATTTTTTTTGAACAATGGTTTTGTTTGCCTTTGTCCGTTTTGGCTTCGGCACGGGTCTTGCACAGTGGTCAAAAAGTGATAGAAAATTAGACTTCGACATGTAATTTGATGTGACTTATAGAATTATTCGGTGAGTCTTATATAATAATTTAAAGAGAGCAAAGAGGTTGTCTCAAATGCTTAGAATGAATAAGTTTTGAATGAAATTCAACTTATATAATTTTAAATTATTTAATTCGAAAGATCATAAGAATTAGTTAGTTATATTTATATTTATAACCTAATTGAGCTTACTGTGGTTTCAATTAAAAATCAAACAAGATTGTTGCCTAGTTGCTTACTGCACCACTGTGCGATGGCCCCCACGCGGCACTTCATAACAACTACTGACAGAAGTCGACACACCCACTAAAAAAATCAACAACAACAAGCGTATGCTTAAAGTTTTAGTTACCGAAATCCTTGTCCACAACAGGAAATAACTTTCTATCAGCTCAACAAGCCAGCGGGGCACACACACACACACACACAGGCAGAGCACCCGCTCAGATAGTGCTGGCTGCGGAAGCAACCTCTGGGCATTTATTCATGACCATTTCGCACAGTGGCCTAATGCGACAAGGACACAACATTGTGGCAAGGACGACCAATTGGCTTTGCTTAATGCCTGCGTGCAAATCTCAACGACATTTGGGTTTGTGCTCGGGCTATGAACTGGGAGTGGGGCTGGGATTGGGCGTGCCGACAACAACAAACAAGACAAGACACCAACGGCAGCAACAACGATAAATATAAACTTAACCGGCAATTACTTACCACATAATTAGTAACTGTGTATGGCACATAAGTAATGGAGCCGAGGCGTAGCGCGCGTCGCTGCAGATTGAGCAGTTTGTTGGGATAAAGTTCGGCTCGTTGGGCAAAAGTTTCGTTCGGCAAGAATGCGTCCAAGAATATAGCATCCAAATTTCCACTGCCACCGACAAACTTCTGTGTCCACAGCTCCAAATTGATGTCGCGGTATGGGTGAGGCAAGCTAACTGCGGCCTCTCCAACTCCAGACACAAATCCACCTACGTCTGTTTCGCCGCATCCTTTATTTGCTTGCTCTGCGGGCCGCACCATCAGATGGTGCGGGTAGACTAAAGCGTATTACAAACATGGGAATATTGAGGAACAAACCGAAAGGACAACAACCAAATTAACTTCCAGCCAATACCAACAAAAAAAGTTTACAATTGAAGAAGGCGCCGTCAAGCGTGGAAATTATTGGCCAGTGCCAAAGTTGAAAGTTTGATCAACTGATGCGCCCTGTGGCTGTTTTTGCCACATTTGTGTGTGTGTATGTAGGTGTGTGTGTACTGCCGTGTGTGCGAGTGTGAGTGTGAGTCAAAGTTTTGAGTTTGACTTGTTTTGTCAGCGCCCCAGGGAATCCCCGTCAAGTCCGCGTTTTATTGCCAACTAAGTAAAAAGACAGCGCTTTTCGCAATTGCTGCCAAATTTTAAACGTTCTACTCGACGAATAAGCACAGCCAACATGCGAGGGATTAATATAAGACGAAGGCAAGTTGAGCTAAACACATTAAATATGCAGTCACACTTCTTGAAAAGGGCAACTAATCGGGCAATGAATATTGAAGAAACACTATTATTTTATACATAGCTAAGGGAGTTCCCCTTTCGAGTGCTTCAAACTTGGACTTGATTAAGGAAGCCCCCGACGTTGCATACATACATTGCAAAATATCCATACTCATGAGATCCCTGGGTTCTTCCTGCTCGCACAGAAACAGATAGAGCTTATCCTTGAGTCTAACGTTGGCATTGCGTGTGGCAAAGTAACGAGCGTGGAGAAAATGCCTTGTGTCCGGCAGCACAGTGATGAAGCCCTGTCAAGAGAAAGCAACTAGATTTCCCTTTGTGACGTTACAATTAAGTTCCTTGAATGCACCTCGGTCACGCTGGCGTTGACAGCGCGCAGCACTTGCCATTCAAGGGCGTCCGGCTGAGATTCGTCATCGGGCAGCTGGGCAACGTTGATCCACTGCAGCAGCTGGGGCTGGCTGAGATTCCGAAGGGCCAGTTGCAAAGCCGTTAGATAACTCTGTTGAAGCTGCGTTGCACACGTGCTGTTGTGAACGATGAGGAGCGAGGAGAGCGGCGCAAAGTATTGGCCAACTGTGGCAGATGCAAGCATGAAGAAAGATGCAAGCAAACAGAAAACAAAATGTTATAGAAACCTACCAATAATCTGGATCAGCTTGGTCAGATGAGCTAACTGCTGTGTAAGCAACATCTTGGGGCACTTTCGACGAGCTCTGCAGCCGAGCGGGCCTATATATAGGTGCATCTCTGCAAATTGCCAACCGACAATTGGCTAGCAAATTGAATTTAATGACACTCGAAGCTAAAGTGCCGTCCATTTACCTGCGGCCATGTTTGCGTTGGCATTAGCTTAATTAAAGATACACAGCTCAGCGCAGCTCATATCAATGCTGTTTAGTTAGGCCTTCAAGCCAACAAACAATGCAAATAAACGGGCAAGGGTTCTAGCTCAGGTCGCCCTAAATTAACCGGAAGTGGGTGCACTCAGTGGCCAACATTGCTGCCCGCATAAGTTGTTTACATATTAAATATGAGCTGGCTTGTAATAATACATCTTATATGGCATAGATACTCGTCGTATAAGTGGCTGTTTGACTTATGGTTGAATTACTTTGGCATGTTCAATTAGAACAATTAGAATTTGAGATACAGATACGGATATAAAGATGGTAAGATAAATAAGGGTTTAAAAAGTCAGGTAAGAGCTTGATTTATAAATGGAGTGAGAGAAGCGAGAGTCACAGAGACAGAGAGGGAGGCAGACAGAGAGGAATGGAGAGAGGGAGAGAGAGATAGACAGGGAGGTAGGGAGTCAGAGAGGGAGGTAGAAAGACAGAGAGGGAAGGAGAGTAGGAGAAAGAGAGAGACAGAGAAAGGGTGGAGAAAGAGGGGTAGAAAGAGAAAAAGAAAGAAAAAGCAGAGCAGAGAAAATGAACGAACAACTTAAAAGAGAGCTAGGCGAAAGTTTTATATATAAACTTTTAGAAGATACACCAACCGTAACAGATGGAAGGAAAGAGAGAAAACGAGAGGAAAAGCTAGAGCGAGAAAGAAATAAAGAAAAAGAATAATAACAAACTCCAAATAGTGTTGTTAAACTTTAAATTTAATAGATTTAGAAGATAGAGAAAGATGCCCAAGCTAAATAGTAACAGACAGAAAAAGAGAAAGAATTATAATCTTAAAATATTATAAATATGTTAAATTTGCAGAAAGTAAACACATTGATATGAAAAACAATAAGTGCTTAAACTTAAAGCTTTGTCATCTACTTAAGCATTCATTGTTTTTCATATCACTTTATCTACTTTCTGCAAATTTAACATAATTATAATATTTACAACAAGTCCAACCAAATCACTAGATTCTGCTTTAAAGGCTGCACTGTTAATATGCTTGCTGCTTGCGTTCGACAGTATTTCAGCCGTAGACCAACTTGCAACGCTTGAAATTGCAACAGACTTTTCTGAAAGCTGACATCTCAATATTCGTGCATTGCCAATTAAGCTGACCAAACAAACAACCCAGAGACAAACAAAGACAACAACATCCGACATCTAGTCGAATGGCAAGCTTACATGGCCCCACATAATGCGAACAGTTAACACATTGACTTTCATTAAGAATGTGGATAACCAAGCGATATGGACTTTTGGATCTGAAACTGAGCCCAGACAAAGTACCAATTGAAACAATTCAATTGCTCGGTAAACGTGTCTGTATCTATATGTGGCTTGGTGTGTGAGTGTGTGTGTGTAGCTTAGTCCCTATGCGTGTGGTCATTCGCATTGGCGAGACAGATTAAAGGATTTACACAGGCAAGCAAAAAGAAGAGAGAAAAAATAGAAAATCCAGAATCAAAGCGAAGCTTAAGAGAGGCCGTTAGTCGGCGAAACAGTCACATTGGACATTTGGAAGCACAGCAGACGACCGTTTAACTAGCTAGGAGGATTCACTCGCATTTAGATGTAACCACTCCCAATCCACTCTACAGTAGCATGGCAATTAAACCGTATAAGTGTGCTGCATGGGGACTGGCAGGGCCGTTGACTGGCGTGCGGCTGGCCAAAAATGTTGCGGATCAGCCTGAAAATAACTTGGCCAAATTAAGTATGTAGCAAGCCAAGCCACTGTTGTCTAAATTAGTTAGCGTACATTCGTGGCCAGCTGTTTGCTTATATATCGGCGTGAAAATTTGTAGGTGCATGGAAGGTGCGTGTCGACGTGCGCTACCTTTTGAATTTACACACCTCGCACAGGCAAATATTGAGCAGCATTCACACTCGCATCCGCATCCGCATTCACGTTCGCCGCCAAAGGGCCGCAGGCTGACCAACAAAGCGACCGCCGACTGGATTCTGGCTTAGTTTTGTGGCCGGCTGCTGCAACAAATGGCCAAAACAAAGCGGCTAACACTAACTGGCAGCAGTTGACAGTCTCTTCGCTTGCTCCGTGCAGAGCTCGTTCACATGTTTTCTTGTCTCTGGCTTAAGCTTCTGCTTTTTGTTATACTGCCAGCGAATGGCCCATTTGATACACATAAAACCCAGTTGCAAGCTAATGAAAATTGTTGACCACTGCAAGTCGTTGCGGTGGCAGCTTAAATAAAATTGAGCAAGACTTTAATTGCATTGTGAATTGTTCGATTATAATAAACGAAAATGCTTTAAGAATTTATGTCTCAGTAATTGGTCTAAGGCATTCAGCTTGGCTGGTGAAGCATTAAAGTTACAGAGATTATACTTTATGGAGAGGAGACTGAAGCGTGTGTAGGGATATCAAATGAGCAGACAACGTATCTAGGTATCAGAAGAATTATATACTATATTATTTGTCCTTCCACTTTGTGTATATTTTCCGTTTTAATACTAATAACTAACACATCAGTGCACAATTACTCAAAACAATTGCACTCCATCACGCTCGTCGGCTGCTTTATACAATGTGACAGATATCATATGACGTAGACACACAACAAAGCAATGCATAGAAATGGGGCAGTATTTACATTTTAATTAGCTGGCACATCAAATTTTGCCAGCGGCACGAACTGCGTACTGCGATTTGTCCTTGAAAGGACACCATGAATCCTCTGCTAGTTGTATGGGAAACAAAATAAATTTGCAAGGCCGAAGCATTTTGCTATAATATTTCCCGCACAATTATGCAGATTGGCTGTGGAGATGATGACAAGCGGTGGTTGGGCGTACGAAAAGGGACGCAACATATGAAACAATTTCTGTAGCAGCGGGTCGTATACGTAATATGCGCAAATATTTGCCACCAGAAGCCGAACGTCATATTTGCTTGACTGTCCGACTGCAGCTGGGTATATTTGTTCAGTTCACCTTCCTTTTTCGAGAATTGCAAATTGCATTTTTGCCATGATTTGTAAATAGACTTAAGTATTACGAGTATTTGTGTTGATATTTGTGTTTGTAGTTTGTGTTTTTTTTTGCTTTTTTCCGTTGGTTTCGTAGTTACTCGCATTTTGTGGTACGAACGCAAACACTTGAACTCGTAAATATGTACGCACTCACACACAGACAGAAATAAAACTAAAATAGAAACACATTTCATTTCCGTAAGTTCTGGTAACAGAATATGCCACACGTACACACATACACACACACACACACACACTCTTATGTATAAGTAGCACATTGGTTTAAGTGCAATTGAAAATGCCTGCCAAAGAAAATGCTTTTTTCATAATTTGATTTGGAAACTTTTGTGAAATTAACTTGCCTTAAAGGCACAATTGCAATACTTAGCTGTTTGTGTGAAGTGTTTTGAAAGGCTCACATTTGCAACCACTGTGCACAGACTTGAAGCACACACACAAAAATAGCTGCTACAAGAAGTGGCAGCCAGCCAAACAACAAGTAGCAAAGTGAAATAAAATTTTGGCGATAAACCAACAAAATCGATTGGAAATTTTGTTTTTAACAAAACTGCAGCTTAAAGCATCAATGCGGGGGCCAAGGAGGCTGCCAGGCAGCTGTCTCTTGAACGCTTCGAGTCTGATGCTCATGAAGTCCAACATAATTTCGATGATTATAACGCTGTCTCAGTTGGACACTTGGAGAACGCACAGCGCGTTGAGGCATTTTGGATTTAGCTGATAATCGCCATCTCGATCAAGTGTGCAATCCAGCTGAAGTTGCAAGTAGTTGATTCGGCAACAGCAAGCAGTTTAAATGCTAACAATGCCACGGACGTTTCGCTGGGGAGAGCGGTCAAGTGCTTTGCACCGGAAACGAAGTGTAATGAGAGCGTGTAAAGTGCAAATCGAAAATGCAATACAAAATACTCCGGCATGGCTGGCAGGCATTTGTAACGCTGTTTCCTCTTTCCACTTACGTTCTGTCCTTCTCTCTCTCACTCTCGCTCTCTCTTGCTCTGACACACTCACATACACCTGCTTGATACTTTTCTGTAAATTACCAATGTCGACACGGCGATAAGGCGAGCCAAAGGAGGCGATGCGAGACGCTCACATCCTGCAGGTAACTATGCAGCGCCGAATTGCTGCCACACCAAAGGTGAGAGGCAGTTAAACGTGGCCAAAACGAAGGAAACGTTTCCTAATGGCAGACATTGCAGCTCCAAATGGTTTTCTGTTTGCTAAATTATATCTTTAATTAAATGCTTTTAATTTTAATGTTGTCAAGCATTAAAAATCACTGAAACGTGACAAGACAAAAACAAAATTAACCGAAAATATGCTGCAAAATATTTGATATTGCGAATCCACTTTAATTTCAATTGAAATCAATATTTTATTAATTTAGTTGTTCACTTTTTAGCAGCTGAAAGCCCTTTTTTCGACTAAGCACACGTAGGTATTATCTGTCTGAACCACATTGTCATATATTATTAACAGTTGCAATGCAATCGCAAAACCACCAACAAATTAAATATTTATAATTATTTCTATCTGCATTGAGATGATTAATATTACACATACACACATATACATATATTTAAAATTTAACCACAATTTTTTTCTCTTTTCCCTTTAATGAAATTTCCTATGTAATGGAAATTATTATTTAATTCACTTTCAATTTATTTCATTTGTTTTATGCCATTTAACTTATGTCATAAAGGCACTACTTTAAAACTCAAATTTTCAGCTAATATATAGACTAAATAATATTAAACTAGTTTTAAAAAAATTTAGTAAAAGTTCTATACTAATTAAATATTTTAAATTTGAAATATGCATTTATGAGCTTGGACTTTATATTGAAATATTTGAGCAAACAAATTAAAATTCATCCATGTCTGCCCTCAAATCGTTCAGGCAATGCAAACTAATTTATATATATATATATATATATATATATATATATATATATATATATTTATGTATATAGACATATACATATATACATATACATTTATATGCATATAAATTTGAATATTCAGAGTAGTTTAAAGAAAACATAGTTAAAAATGTTCGCTGAATGCAACGAAACTGAGTCGAAAATCTAAATTAAAAACTATTGAATAGCATTTCTAAAGCTTGTCCCGTCCGTGTCGACTGTCTGTTCTATTTGACTCATTTTTAATTTAGCAATTTTTTGCAGCTCATTGTTGAGTGGGGAGCGTAAATCCTTTTGTTTCAGCCGTGCACGCTCGACAACAATTAAATGCAACCAATTGCATTGCAGGCCGAGCTCGGGCCGCACAGAGTGAGATCAAACAAACCTGTGCACTGGGGTTGTATGGCTCTTGTTTGGGATCAGAGGCAGAGGGTGACACACAAAACTGGCGTTCATTTATTCATATCCGATTGGCTTTGGCAATCAATGGACTAGTGCGTCCCATGCAGTTCGGATCCATCGCTGTCAGAGATTTTCCGCAGCAAATCAATGCACATGCGGTTGCTGTGGGTGCCTACAACTATGCGTGTGTGCGTGTGTGTGTGTGTGTGGCTGTGCCCAACGTGATTGAAACGAACAAAATCAATGCGAATTATTTGGTTTTCCAATTCGTTACACTTCACTACGGCGTTCAGTTAATTAATGGTCAAATTTTTTTTATTTCGCCTCCATGGGATATCACGCATTTTTGTATTTTTTTTTTTTTGTTTTGGCTGGTTATCTAAGCCCTGACTATCCGTCTGATCTTTTAATTGTTTTATATGAAAAAACTCAATTCAAATAACAATAGCTCATCAAGTAGCCGCAAGCAGAATTTATTTTAGACCGCCGCAATGGCCGCATGGCCCAGTTGTAGCCAACAAAACCGCCAATTTGCCAGTGTGGCTGCAGCCATAAATGCGCCCATAACACATACAGAGAGAGAGATATGCCGATGATTATCAGTATCAAAATATAACGCTTGATTCAATTGTTAGCTGAACACACATAGCCAGACTATGCCTGTGTCTATGGCTGTGTGTTGCAGGACATTTTAAGGTGCTTGTAAAACACGAGGCATGAAAATAAACCAAGCTTATCGCACTTTAATTTCTCTTTAGAAAGCAGCTGCAACTCCCTCGACTGCCCGCATCTCGGCAACCCTAAGAATCACACTTGGAGCGACGTAAATAAAAATTTATGACCACAAAAGTATGCTACAAAATATGCGCATAAAATGATTATGACGATTATGTTGTAGCTGCTGCTCGTGTTGATATTACACCAAATAGCAAGCAACAACACATATGCAATGCTAAACGGTCACACACACATATACACACATACATGCACATATATATTTATTGACACAAATTGCTTTTCAGAACTCAGCTCTCTTGCCATTTGGCTGTCTGCTTGGAGCTGGTTTAGGGTGCGGCGGCTCCTTTGGCCACACGCTCTTTGCTCTCCCTTTATTAAAGCAATAATAAAATATTCATAAAGATTTCGTTTACGCAGCAATGACAACGTTTTACCGCCCATTTTACAATAATGCCTATAAATATGTTAGACCCACTCACATCTAATAGATACATAAATACATATATATCTATTTAAGCATACTATTTGAACCGCCCCCACCCCCAACAGCTTGACAGTTTATTAGCGCATAGCATGCATGAGCTATGTGTGTAGCTGAGCATTTTAAAATGTTTCCGCGCGTGTGTGTAACTACGATATGTTCATTTAAATGACGGCCACAACAAGCTGTGGCCCGCAATCATGTCAAGAATTCAATATCAAAATACGCGCACAGCTGTCGCTGATGACATCGAACAACGCACGGGAGCCAACGGGCCCCAACTGCCGTACAGCAAAGCCCCCTCTTTTGAGGTCCTATTGATGAACTGGCTCTTAGCTAAAGGAGCCGCTGTGCGAGGGGCGTAAGCAACTTCTCGCGTTTTGATTACAAATATAAAGCACGGAACATACTCACACAGAGCTGTCAAGTCATAACGCACAGTGTGTCAAAAGCCACTGTACAGAGCTATATATTATAAATATATACATACTTATATATATATATATATTTTTTTTTATTATTTATGTATGCATATACATATATATTATAATATATTAAAATACTTATTTAAATGTATTTATTTTTTTTTTGTTATTTTTGAAAATTAAATTTAAATTTAGTGTAATAAAAATTTTAATTAAATTCATTTTATTTTGTATATAATTTAAATATGCTTTTTTATGGAATGCAATTCATTATTACTATTTGGACTTAAATATACTAAGTCAACTAATTTTTACAAGTAAATTTCATACTTTACCTCATAACATGAAGCTTATATACATTATTATTGCAGTAGTATTACTAGCTTATAGGTAGTTTAGTAGCACTAACAGAAAATCTTATAAATTTATACTTTACCTTACAGATATGAATTTCTAGTTAAAGCAAATAATTTTTGCCCCAGTGTGCATTGACTTAAGCATCGCCAACTGTGTGTGCGTGTGTGGAATGCATTTAAAAGTGTTTCCCACAGAATCAAGCGGCACACAAATTGCAATACACACACACACACTCACACACACACACACACACACACACATACAGCCACTGATATATTCTGAAATGTTGCACAAATTGGCAAAACTAACAACAAGTTAAGTCATTCAGGTCAAATGGCCGAGATGAGAAATCTATCGATTCGGCATAAGATCAGAGTTGATGATTTTAACTCTTGAGTGACGCAACTTGGAACGCCGTTAAGAGAATCCATTAGTTTAATTACCCGGCAGCTCGAACTGCAACTGCAAGTGCAACTGCAACAAATTGCGGCTATCAACATATTCGATGTGCCTTCCGTGGCTGCTGCATCTGATTACTTAATGCATTTGCACATTTGGCCACAAAACAGCGAGAAAGCAGCAGAAAGTTGACATGTTGCCACTGCTCCCCTGTCTGATTGCTCGATTATTCTGGAGCTCCTGCTTGGTTTTAATTAGTGCACATGAGTGGCCCGCATTGAAGGCTGCTGCCAGCTACCTATATTCTATTGGCCAATTCATTGCAGAAGCTTCAATTGCACGTTCCAACCGGAGCCGGAAACTGACTACAGTTCTCTGTGGGCGGCACTGGGACAGATTGTGTGTCATTAACTTGATGCAGCGGCCCAAATAGATGGCCAACAAATGGGCGGCCACCCCCAATTGTAAGTGTGACTGTGGCCAATCGAGTGTGTGTGTGTGTGCGGTCACAATTGCCTGCCCGAGATGAGAAATTAACCTTTGTTGCCGACTTCGTTGGCCAGGCTGGGCCGGAAGTTTGACCCTAAACAGAAAAGAGCTTTTGCGGTTGCCGTTGTACAGCGCCGCTAATGGCGCTTGAATAATTAAAAGCGAATGAAACACATGCTTGGTTTGTTTTGGTAAACACACATAAATATACTTGGATGCTTTAATATGATAACCACAAAATTTGCATATAACACACACTAATAGACATATACACACATATTTAACGCAAGATAAACTTTCTATTTAACACTAATATATATTTGCAACATCTAATATAATGAAATCGGAAAAACCAGTTCAATTTAGCCTCATAACCCTCTCTATTTCTTGGCACTATCAATTACCGCAGTCTGTATTTCGTCTCCATAATAGACAACTATGTTGTCCTTCTCCTCATCCAGTTCTCGTTGTCCTTTGCTAATCAGTTGCTGTAATTCATCTTCCCAGCCAAGCGCTTCAGCCAGAGCCCAGACACCAGCATCGCAATCCCCAAGGAATGCTACATCGCGCGTATTCTTCGTTTCGCCGTAGAGCAACGCCTCGCCATTGGCATCCATCCAGGGTGCAAAGCTTGCACGCCCAACCGCATCGCGATTAATCAACAGGCGAATGCAACGTGGACCAGCCCGGTGGATTAGCGAAGCAAACGGTTGCATCTCCAGAGACGTGCCCATGATGATAAGCAAGTCGCACTCCTTGAAGTCCTCCTCGGGACAGGAGTAAAATTTATCGGGCAGATTTTCGCCAATAAAAACAATGTCCGGCTTCACAAGGCCCTTGCACTGCTCACAAATGGGCAGAGCATCCGAAAATATCTTCTTCTTCATCCAGGCCATATCGTAGAATTGCTTACAATTGAGACAATGATTCGTATTAAAGCTGCCAATTGCCTCAATAAGCTTGTCCTCCGGCAGACCTGCCAAACGTTCCAACATGTCGATGTTTTGAGTATAGTGGCGCTGTAGCACGCCCTTCTCGTGCAACAGGCGAACAAAGTAATGCGCCGGAGTTGGCATAAACGAGCCCGGATATAACTCCTTGGCTAGTTCAAAAAATGGGGCTGGATTCTTCTGAAAGTTATCCACATCAAATATGGCCGTTGGATGCGGTAGCTTATGCTGCTTCTGGTTGCTGTACAACCCGTAGCCAGGCGAACGAAAGTCAGGAATACCCGCAGCTAAAGAACTTTTCATATTTGTACAAAAATTAACACTTGCAAAATAAACGATCAATGAAATGTCAACTCACAAGTAGAGATACCAGCACCCACCATAGTTACAATGTTTTTAAAGCCGTTTTCGCGCCAGTGCATCGAGAGGCCTTCAAAGGTAAGCTCGGGTATTACCTGAAGCAATTAAATACTTGAGAATTTGCATATAAAATTTCTCTAATTTACCTTGTCCACAACTGCACATTCGTTGTCCGAGGTCAGACTGAAAGTCTGCGAAAAGAATCGACGAATCATGTCCACAGTGCCATCTGAAAATGAATTATCTGACAACAAATTCAACAATTAGTTGAATCGTTCAAAACCTTCTTCGCCTTGACTGCCAGAATCTGTATCTGTTGCTGTCGCTGCTGACTTCGACGTCGGCGTATACAACAACGTCGACGGCTTAGTGGGCAGCCCGTCAGATTGGTCACTTTTGCCTTCGTTCTCTTCGCTGTCACTCATTATGCGTTAATTTTCACTCAAACTATATTTAATGGCAACCTACTATATTTAATAAAAAAAATTAAAGGAATTTACACGTTAAAAATATTTTGATTTTATATGCGTTGTACGAATATTTTTCTTATCCTTCTGCAAAATACTCAAGGCCACGGACATGGCGATGCCACACTGTGACTTTGTTATGCACTGCAAAGCTGACTGATACAAAACTAACATTATTTATATCGATATATCGTATGATTTTACGTTAGTCAAGTTCAGCTGCAGTTACACGATTTAAATTTCATACTTAACGGATATACAAAAGCGAACCAACAATAAAATTCTACAATTGCTATTTTATTTTGATTTAACAAGTATCTATAAAATAGCAGTGGAGTGTATTTATGTATGTATAAAACAATAGGAAAAACAAACTGTCAGCATTGTTAGTAAAGCTGTCCGCAAATCAGTAAAAACAATAAGATTTATATAGATTTATTGTGTTTAAAAAAAGTGAGCATCATTTATAAAAAGAAAACATTTGCATTATTTACATTACAATTGCACAACTGAAGATGTATGTATATTAGTCTGGCACCAGGAAGCAAGCATTGCTCCCAACTTCGCCTTCAATGCTGTTCAATCCGCTGACCTTCGATGTGCTCCAGTGCCTACAGCTTATTGTATGCGCACGTTGAGCGGATTGAGTATGCGGCCCGACATGACGGCCACGTCCAAGTCGCGATCGATGATGAAAAACAGAAACGGATGATTAACAGAAATCTGAATGGGCTTCGTTTGGGCGCCAGTGTTGCCTGCGCAAAAAGGGAAATAGTTACTGCACATTTATCTTGCCGCTGCTGCTGGTATTGCTGCAATCGAAGTTGCAGGTGGGGCTGCTGGCTAACACCTCGATGGAGATCTTCGCTGCGTTGCGCCTCACTGCGTCGAGGTGTGTGCTGCAATGTTGCAATAGAGCAACTACTACTTACGTTTGAGCTGATTGATCGGATGCGTACGGATGTTGACATCGATCGATTGCTCAATGTGTCGCACGTAGACGCCCTTCTCGTCGGTCATGGGTCGAAAGTCGGCGCGATTCGGCTCAAAGATATCACAGCTAAAAAGTGATTATAAAACAAAAGTAAAAGTGCGTCCATCATAGACAGATAGCTAGTTGCCCAGCCTGCTTACATGCCCATCTGTAAAAGGGAATAGATAAATAAAAGCATTTACTAAAGGACTCGCTCTAGCTGCTTACATTCTGCAGATCGTTGGTCAGGAACATGGTGCCGTGCAGCTTGAAGTCGGGTATGATGGCCTGCACCCAGCGTGGTTTCAGCTGCTTGCGCATCAGACGCAGCGTGGGACCCAGCTTCAGCGAGGCAGCTGCGGCCACAATGTCCATGTGGTAGTCGGGCAGCAATATCATCAAATTGTACTCTGGTGTGTCCAGCTCCAGCTCCAGCACGCTCATCTTCAGGTGCTCGAAGTACTTGTAGTAGAGCACCGCATTGTACACCTTGAATGTGGTGTGCACCACCTGCTGGCTGCCCAGGTAAAACACATGGCTAATCACATCCGTATTATAGTTGGTTTTGCTATCTGCTCCATCGCCGATGAAGTGCGGATCGAAGTCGTTTGTGATGTGCGCAAAGGCAGCTGTCGGTGGTATGGGCAGTGGGTGTGGTGGACCATGCGGTGCGTGCGGACTGAACAGCGCCACAAAGAGATTCGCATCCAGATCCTTATAGCCCAGCACATGGCGCTTGTGCCGAGACACATTCGATTTGCGAGTTGCGTTTGGCGACGTCATGGACGCAGCTGAGCGTGCGCCATAGTTGCTCTGCCTGTGCGTGGGCGCTGCCATTTGGCGGGCCATCATGGGCATAACGGCAATGCGAGCGCTGGGCAAATAACTGGGCTTAGGCGTTATGGGATTGGAATGCTTGAGCGGCGCCTGCAGCTTACTGGTGGGCAGACGCGAGACGCGAGCCTTTTGTATGCGCAGAAAGGGTTCGGCATCCTCCTCGGCGACAAAGGCGGAGACCAGCTCGGCTGCCTCATCATCGCCAGCGGCTGCTTCAGCTGCCTCAGCTGAGGTGGCGGCTTCAGTAGCAGCTTCAGTAGCAGCTTCAGCTGTTGTTGTTTCAGCTTCTGCTGTTGTGGTTGTTGTCTCCTCAGTTGTGGTTGTTGTTGTCGTTGGTATGGTTGTGGTGTCGATCAACTCAGTGGTGGTGCTAATGGACAGCTCTGTGGCTGTTGTTGTGTCCGTACCCTGGGGCGTGCTTGTCTCCTCAGCCGTGGCATTGCTCGACATAGTGGCATTGGTCATGGCCATTGTTATATTTGCTGGCGTCGGCGAAGTCATGTCAACGCTCAGATCGTAGCCATAAAACATGAGCACCGTCTCGAAGTCCTTCAGCACTGTTATATTGCCCCGGCTTAGGCTGAGCCCCTTCAAGGGGTTATCGGAGCCGAAGAAGTAGGTCTGCAAATAATGGAGCGCTTATCACAACTACTCATTGTACACATCAGATCAACTATTCTACGACTATCAATTATAAATTCTATTCATGCCAAAAAATTCGGCCACTCATCGCGGATTATTTAGATTGGGGTCAACGAACTGCTGAAAGCGTTCTAAGCCACAATTGGGCAGCGATAAGCAGACTTTGGGGGTTTTGGCCAGCGGCACAAAGCCATATGATCAATTGGTATCAATATATTTATATATTTAACACAAAGCGCCGCAGCATAACACAATTTTGTTTGTCTTTTTTTCGTTTTATCAGCCAAGTATTATTCACATTCGAGTGGGAGTGAAGGGAGTGGACGGTAGGCTCGGGCAGAATGTGAAGCGAAGCATGTAAATTGAAAGCGATATATTGTGCGTGGGGTAGGGCTTACCCGCAGTCGTCGGTGAATGTCACGGTAGCCGACGCGTATGACGTCACGATTGCCGGGCAATTGCAGCACATTGCGCAGCTCTGTGGCGCTTCTGGCGGAGGAGCCCTCGTACAGCGCCACCAGCACGCTGACCAGCGCCGTGGGCGAGAATGCGAAGTTATTCCGATTGAGTATGGAGTGATAGTGGAGTAGCCGATGGGTTAGATCGTTGGTCAGATCGACCATCACCTCGGCTGGGGTCAGTTGCTTGGCCAGCACATGCGGCAGGCGCTCCAGTTCCAGCGGCGTCAGTGCAGCTGGCGGCGGCGGTGGATGGGGATAGCCACTGGCCCGAAACTCTTCGTGATCGATTTGTATGTAGTGGGCGTGGCTGGGCAACAACAGCAGCAGTAGCCCTATCAAGCTGCACATCAGCTGTGTGTCGAAGGTCATGTTGGCTCTGACCTTACTCAGTTTTAAATAAATGCACATTGATAATCGCGTTAACTGATTTTAATTCCCCTCTATTTAGTTGCTGTTGTTGTAATTGTAACTGAAGCATGAAATCCGTTTAGCAAAAAATGTGGCAAATTCTGTGCGCGCTCATGAATTGCATTATTTTCGCTTCTAATTGGAAACGGTTAGTTTGATTTCAAGGTTCTATAATTTTCTCCCAACTGTCAAGCGAACTGAATTTCACACATTTTCGCTTGCAATTTTGCCTGGGCAAAGCTTTTTTATAGTATTTTTACAGATTTCGATCCGCTTGTCCAACTGATTGCCGCGATTGCTGCCAAAGCACTAAAAACTGTTAACCGTGCGGCCCATGGTCCGATCCAATCCGATCGATGTGTTCGGCAGCTGTGACGCTTTCGTGCGTGTTTCGAAATTATTTAAAGCAGCAGAGACAGAACGCCACTCTGGACCCAATAGACCCAGCTAAGCTTCGACGATCGATAGTTTGTGGCAGTCAAGTCTCTTGACCAATTTTGTGGGCTTCAACTTAAAGATAATACTTGACAATAGCCAGTTCTTAACTAGCAATTTAGACTATAAATACAATGCAAACAAATGCCAACGCCGGCGCAACCGAACTGTCAATTGCCATTTATCAACGCAAAGCATCTGAAATGCATTTCTCAAATTAATTTTCTTTTAGCTCAAGTTTTTTCAGTCATTGTAAAAATGTCTTCGGGAAAGCACTGCATCTACGCGTGGATAACGTATTTTCTAATGCTTTATGGACTCGCTGCATTCTACTTTGATGTGCGCACGGGTCGAATTCAGAAGTCGCGTGTAATGAGCATTTATTGTCGCGTCCTTTTGTTGACTATATTCTGTGCGTTCTCCTACGTAATCTTGTTGGATTGGAAAATTACTCCTATAATTCCCACGCAGTCCAAGCTTATGGACGTCTTAACATATTCGCAGCCAGTAATCTCGTTCCTATCGTTTATAGCCAGTTTGTTCTGTTTACAATTCGGCCAGCACAGAATATTTGAGGTGATTAGGGATCTGTTGAGAGTGGAGAATCTGTTAGCCGAATCAGCTACTTATGTCACTCCATCGCAGAGGCCAGTGCTCCTAGGGCTCTACTGGAGCAGACTAATAATCGTCTTATTACGCACAGCTGTTCTGCTGTTGTGGACCTTTACTGGAGTCGAAAATTACGTCTATCTACTCGGCATTAGTGGATCAAGAATTATAATGTGTGGGCTATATTTCCTGCAGTTTAATATTATTTGGCAAATCTGTTATACTTTCCTCAAGGTGCAGCTGTACCTAGAGCAACTGCTAATCGACGCAATGCCAATGTCCAGGAGAGTGCAGAAAGTTTTGGAAGTGCATCGCATGTACTATAAACTCATTCAGATGATAAGCAAATTTTGTGACATTTTTAAATATTCGCTGGGCTGTTATATTTTGCAGCTAATCTGCAACGGTTGCTTGAGTGGCTATTATTTTTTTCGTGAGCTTGTTGGAAATATCGAAGAAACACCAACCATGAAAGTGTTCTTAATAATTATAATGGTTATGAATGCGTTGGAACTTTCAATCTTGGCCAACATAGCTAACATGGCTAGTAAGCTTCACGATAAGACATTTCATATTTTGAGCTGCTCCAACTTGCAGTCGAAGCAATTGGAACGAAGTGTATGAATAGTCTTTGCAGTTTATGTTAAGATTTTAATAGACCCTTTATCTTAGACTGACTGGCTGGCTCTGCAGCTCACATGGCAGAACAGGAGCATTCACATCTTTGGCGTTGTGAACATCGACCACAAATTGATATTTCTAGTGGTGACTGGCATCGTACTCCATATAATCTACATAGTGCAGAGCGACTACAAATATTTTTAAATAGAAACACAATATTGTACTTTTCAGTTATAAATGTAAACTAAAATACTAAAAAAAATATTATATTCAATACAAAAATAAAGTTGTTTAAGTATTTTAAATTGTTTGTATATTATGAAAAAGAAGTTTAATCAGTTGACTTACTTGCCATGCCCAAGAAGAGTTCAGAAAGTTTGGGAAGTGAATCGAAGGTGCTATAAACTTTATCGAATGGTTAACGTATTTTGCGAACAAGTAAGCAAAATATTTTTTCTATAAATGTTATAATGTTAAATTAAATCAACACTTTTCCTATAATTGTATTAAACAGCTTTGGTCAATGGTTTGGCCAGAATTACTAAGCTGACTGCTCAAACTCATGCTGGAATGTTTCAGATCGTACTCAGCTCTAAATTCAACTCGGATATAATGTAAAAAAGTGTGTATAATTCTCATTTGAATTTTAATTTATAAAACTAATTCTCTCTTCTTAATATAATATATATAATACAAAGCAACCACAATTATATATATATATATATAAACAACATAAAATTATTGCCAATATCTGCCTTTTTTTGTTCTTTTATGGAAGCTGAACTTAATTTACAAATGCAATAATTAAGGGCATATTATATTTGGTACCTTATACAATAAATTTATTAGATTTTCTTTAATTTAATTTACTACCAAATTAGATAAGGGTAATCAAAGCAAATTCCATTTAAATTATTAATTTTTCCCTCATAAGTGTGCATTAAATCTTCTCTATGGCCTCAATAAACTGTAAACGAACAAAGTGAAAAGGTCATATCTTCTGTTTATTATAGTATAATGGCTTTATATTATCTTTTGCTATTATAATCGCCCTTGCTATTTTTATGAATTTTAATTTCTAAGGCTGCCACTTCTTATCTATATAAGTTTCATTACACTGGACTCAAATCAACTTCATTTAACTTGCAACTAATCAGCAACTAATTATAAGTAAGTCTTACACATAAGTATAATATTTCAGATAGCAGTTATATTAAACGAGCTGTCACTTCGAATTCAACTCCCACTTTTCACACAATTTCCAGATTATTTTCTAATTGATTAAATGCAGCTAGCTGCATTGCCCTCAAGGCCTTCAAGTAGTCCCAACAATGTCCTCGGGCAAACAGTTCGTATACGCTTGGATAACGTATTTCCTGGCGTTTTGTGGAGTCACTGAGTTCTACTTTGACAAATGGACAAGCAGACTAGTGAAATCACGTTGGCTGCGCTATTATTGCCGACTATTGAACGTGATTATCTTGTACATTTTCGCCTCGGTGTTATTTTCATATGGAAAGAAATTCCCATCATATACCACTCAATCCAAGCTAATGGTTTTCTTAGTGTCTGCCTCTCCAATCATCACCTTAGTGACATTTCTGAGCTGTGTATTATGTGCGCGATTTTGGCAGAAAAGAATCTTTGGGATGCTCAAGGATCTACTTAGGATAAATGAGCTGATAGCCGAATCTAGCTATTGTGCCACTCCGTCAGAGCAGCCACGGCTGCTATGGCTATTCTGGATTAGACTATTGCTTCTAGTGTCGCAAACTGTCTTGATCTTGATACAGCCTATCATTGTTGGTGAAAACTATACAGTTTATTATAGCATTATCGAATCACGATTAATGAGGAGTGGACTGTACTTACTGTCATTTATTTTCATCTGGTTGCTCTGTAATACTTTCGTGAATCTACAGTCTTACGTAAACCAATTATTTTCTGATCAAATGTCCTTATCGCGGAAGGTGCATAAGGTTTTGGAAGTCCATCGAATGTACTATAAACTAGTTCGAATGATTAACGAGTTTTGCGAAATTTTTAAATTTCCACTGAGCTTTTATTTGCTCTATATGCTTTGCAATGCTTGTATCTGTGGATACTTAATATGTCGGCAGTTGGTTGGAAAACCCTTAAAAATATATAGTCTCAGCACAGAGTGGCTCTTAACAATTCACAACTTCAGTCGTATATTGGAACTCTTGGTTCTGGCTAGCATATCTAACACGGCTAGTGAGGTTCACGATAAAACATTTAACATTTTACGATCCTTTAACTTTGATTCGGATGTATTGGAACGCAGCGTAAGTCAAAGAGAGCATTGGTATTTATCATTTTATTGATATCCCTCTTATAGAATGACTGGCTAGCCCTGCAGCTAACATGGCAAAACAAGAAGATCAACCTCTTCGGCGTTGTGGTCATCAATTTCCGTTTGGTCTTTTTAGTCGTGACCAGCATCCTACTTAATATTATATACATAATACAGAGCGACTACAACTACTTGTAAACCTTCACTTACTTTGATTAAATGTTATATCTTTTATAAATGTATTTAAATTAAACTGCTTGAATTGGTCACCATACCAAATCTCAGTGTGCTCTCTGTCAGAATATGCTTGTTCAGACCATTTCTTGTTGCTGCTCTTCGTTCACAACGACCCTGTCCCAATGGCCTACGTAGCCATCTCGCTCTCACCAACCCCCACACCTACGTTCAAAAACAGCCATCTTCGTCTCTTTCTCTCTAGGGCTGAGAATTAGAGGAACAAGCAAGCAGTGGGAAACGTGCAGCTAAAATATAAACTCGCTGGGATAATATTAGTACAACAATATCCAAGCTCTCAGCCTTCCACCAATACTACTGCCACAGTAGGCGACTATCATCAAAACCTAGAGAACAGACTTTAACAAAATAAATCGTTTAGTCCGAATGCGAGATATACTCAAATGATGTGTAGCAAAGCCAAGGAAGGTGCGAAGGCTGTCATTTGCTATTCACTATCCACTTTTCATTTGCTTATCCTACGATCTAATTGATTAAATGCACTTCGTTGAATTCACGTGAACAGCTTTAGTTGTCGTAAAAATATCCTGGGGAAAGCAATTCGTTTGCGCATGGATAACATATTTCGTAGCGTTTTGTGGAGTCAGTGGATTCTACTTTGATATTCGCACGGGCAATGTTACAAAGTCGCGTTTCCTGCTTATTTATTCTAAGCTGTGTTGTTTGTTTACGCTGACGGTTTTCTCATTGCTGTTTATTACGAAGGGGTATAAACTCCCACTATTTT